TTTTCTTTTTCAAATTCAAGCAAAAAAGAGAATCATACCAACTAATTTCATCAAACTTTTGCAACCAAATTCAATTCCTTCCATTATCATCTCCATATCGCATTTCTGCTTTTTCTCTGTGAGTTGATATGCAAAAGAGTCTCACCAGTCGGCTCAAACTTTATCTGAAATAGAGAACCTTGTGTTTAAGTTTTGACTTGTTTAATTAAAAACTATTTTCATGTTAATATTTTGAGAAATTGCCTTTAAAAATGTTCGTTGGGTGATTTGTAAAAGTTAAAAAGTTATGCTAGAAACCCATAAATTCGGAAGGTAAAAATAATTATTCCTGAAAATAAATTAAAATAACAAGACAAAACAGTTATAAATATATAGTAATCTAAATAGGTTTGGGGATAAAATATCCAATTGCCACGTGGATGACAGAGATTGGTTGAAAACAAAAGAAGTTGTTAAAAAGATCTGCCTAGGAAAATCTCTCCTCAAACCTTCCGAGGAGAGAGATTCAACACTCCCAATTACGTTACAACTTCTAAAATATCCGAGCACGATATGCTAAAACCCGACATTTCCGACCTCAAAACCGACCAAGGTAACTGCCTATCACGACCCCTGTCGGGACCTAAACTTATTAATAGAGGGTCCCATTTCACCATCAGGTAAGGAATTTTCTCCTCGAACTTAATATTGAGTCCGAGCTACCTACTGACTTGAGCGTCAGAGATTTTACCCTTTGGAGCAGGTTTTTCCCATCTTTCAGGTCGGAGCTAGGATCGAGTTCGAGCTAGGTAACCGTTGTGCGAATTCTTGCATAAACATTTGGCGGCGTCTGTGGGAACCGACATTTAAGGTCATCCTAGTAACCAAAAGAGTGATCCGAGGATGGTGCAGCCAGTGAACTCTGCCAATACAATAGAACGGAGAGGTTTGAGCGCTAACGGCACTCAGCGTGACCCCGATGCTAGGATAGTCGAGGACCAGGTCCGAGCATGACAGAAGGAAGATCTGTCGC